TGTGGAACCAAATCCCTCTGTCCATCTTTCCTCCTCAGTTCTCCCTCTTTTTTGGTTAGATATACAGAAAATATTCTATTTAATTACCAAAGGTGCTATTCTGCACTAAAACATTAATCTTAGCTCAAAACTATTGTGTGCTACTTCAAAAAGTCAGTATAAAGGAAAAGTAATAGTGAAAAAAAATTGGGGTTTAGCCAATCAGTTTTTGGCATTTAAATTCTTAATGGTCAGCACAAATTGGGGTGTGGAAGGGGTGTATCCATTGTCTAAATAAACTGTGCTTTCTCATCTCAGAAAGGGTAATTACTCACAGGGTAATCCCTAGTAGTCCTTTTGCCGCCTGAGGGCAGGAGGGGTGCTTGTGGTGCACCCAAATGGGAAGGGGGGGTATTCCGCTAACAGTTTGGAGAGTGACACTGCTAACAGCTAACAGACAGGTAGGGAGATGTGTGAGGGCCATACACATCTCCCTGCCCAGGTCTTAGCAACCTGGGATGCTCTGGCCGGCGTCCCGCCGAGCTCCTGGCAACTAGTGATGTCACTGGTTGCCAGGAGCTCAGCGGAACACCAGCAAGAGCATCCCAGGTTGCTAAGAACTGGGCAGGGAGATGTGCCCCACCAGCTCTTAACAACCTGGGACCCTCTGGATGGAGAGTGGGCGGCAAGCACAGTGCAAACACTGTGCCATGCCACTCTGACTGCCCACGTGGCCCAAAGAGATGCCGCCTGAGGCAACAGCCTGACTCATTATACACTCAAGACTTCATGCACAACAGCCCCATAGATGAACTCCAACAAATTTCACATGTAAATATCTTGTTAAGGCTAAAATGGATAGTTACACAAAACGTACAGCATATCATTGTGACGATGATGGGAGATTTGAGTCTGAATAGACACAGAGTGAAGGGGACGGATGGCGGGAGAAAGACCGGTTTTTGAACGTGAGGAGGTGGGAGGAGTTGTGAGAGGGGGTCCACACCACATTACATACCCCACCCAATGCCCATTGATAACCAATTCGCATCCATCACCTCAGACTCCGCCGCTAACTCAAACACACAATCTCCCACTAACACAGACACCATCCCACCCGCTTCACCGCATTTTTTAGGTTTGGGCCCCATGCGCCCCCCAAAAAGAAAAAAACCCGAAGAGGAAGAAGAGGAGGGACACATTATCTACGCCACAAAGAGAGAAAGACAGTCCCCAAACCATCCACAGTTAAGATCTTCAACCTCTCCAACCACACTCTGACCCTTCACGAGGAAACCTTACTCAAAAAGGGCCTAAATTTTGCACCCGACATCAACCCCAATTCTTTCACCCTGTTTAAAGATCTTAACAAGTTCATCCGCAACCTCACCCTGAAGAGACACTACAATAAAACCTCAACCACTGACACAGATGCTGCACTACCCAGTGAACCCACGCCCCACCCAGACCCAGCACCTGACGTAGACATTTTAGCGATCCTAGAAGAATTAGCCGACCCTAGCTACCCGGCAGACTTTCTCTTAGAGAATCTATGCAGCCCAACGTACAAACACACTTCTTTACACCCCCCGTCCAAGTTTTATCCACTCAAATCTAAAGGAGCACACATTGAAACTTTTTACCAAGTGACGTACACAGATTTCCTCAAACTTTGTGATCCTCGGACCCCGGACCCAAACCAACTAGCCTGACCAACTTGGTAGTGCGCTTCTGTATTTTTTGTCTTTTATATCAACAATCAGGTCTGGAGAGGGGTGACCCAGGTGACCCCCGCATTCTCTCTAACAGTCATAAAACCTGAGGTTGAAAATCAAGCTAAACTAGAGTGGCTCTTGTTTTAAACATCATCGAGGAACTAGAAGTCTGAACATCGCAGAAGAGTTCCCCTTTAATCTTTGGACATTATCTGCTGGAAGTCAGCTTGAAGGAGAACCCGGCAGACTTCCACTTTGCTTCTTGAACTCTGTCAGAACTCACAATTCCAGGACTGTTGAGTATTCTTCTTTTATTCCCTTTTATTTTGCTGTTGTATATATATTGTGTCTCTTTTTATTAAATCTTTTTCTGTATATTTTCTGCACCGTTTCTTTTATTAAAGGACGATATTAAAAATCGTTAAGCTTATCTCTACGCTCTAAATACGAACTGAATTTATCCTTGCTCTCTGAAGAGTGCTACTGTATAGTGAATCCTGTCATATTCCTGTCTGAGAGGACAGCAGCATCACAGGCATTGTTTAAGTGTTTTGAATAGTCGCAGCATTCGCTGGGCACAGTTTGTGTTCCGAAAAACACATGGTGGCAGTGGAAGTTTGGTGGGTAAAGAGTTAACTGAGGAGTTAACCAACCCTGGTGACGATCGCTCTCAGTCTGCTGGCCTGAGATTGTGTCCTGCGAGCTGGGAAATCTCTGCGCAGGGTGAGGCTGAGAGTGCTATCGCCACGTTCTTGTGACGCTCACTCTCAGTTCAGACTTGTGTAGGGTCACGTGGGATTGACGTACAGCGGGTCTGAGCCGGGCGCACCTCACATATTGGTGGCAGCGCGGTGGGATAGTTCTGTTTAGAGCATTTAGTGTAGCGTTAGAATTTAACCCTACACTAAAGGATTGTAACCTTTTTGCAACAGTCTTTAGAGATAAGCCGGTGCATAGTTTTGTAATTAAGAGACATATAGCAACAGTTCCCTCCCCCATCTTTTGTTTTTCTGTCCTATCTTTTATTTTGAAAACATGCCTGGTCCGGCAGAGTACAAGAAAATGAGCAAAGATGATCTGACTATTGTGTGTCAAGCAAGGAACATGGACACGTACAATAAATCACGGGAGGACATGATTCGTGACCTGCATGAGGCGGATATCCAGGCAAAGCAGATCCTGGAGAGACTGGAGGACGAGGTCTCAGCCTCAGAGCCAGGGGCATATTTACCGCGAGGCATTTGCCTGGAGCGGCACTTTGCAGGGGAGCGGCATTTTTCACCCCCCTGCAAAGAGGAAAGCTGGGGACGGGCGCACAAGATCAAGCAGCCTCGGCTGCCTTAACAGGTGGCTGCTAATGGGGCCTGGCAGTGAACTGGCGGGTGTACGATGAGGCGTGGCCGGGGCCGAGGGAGAAGCGGCCCGGCCGTCGGAGGCTGGGTTGCCGCTCCAAGAAAATTGGGCGGCTGCAGAAAGACAACATGGGACCTTGGGAGACGCGGACCTGGGCCGGTGGAGGCTGCAGATGGGATGGCGGCTCCAAGAAGCATCGCGGCTGCAGATGGAATGGGACCGAGATAGACACGGCCCTGGTCGGCGGAGGCTGTGGGCGGCTCAAGTAAGATGCAGGCTGGAAGCAAGATGCAGAATGGAAGCAGGCTGGGGAGCTGCAGGTAAGAAGAGCAGCATGTGTGCAGGGAAAATGACCCTCCACAGCCCATAATAGATCATGCACAGCCCACCTTAAAGTCTCTGTGCAAGGTCTATGGTGGGCTCTGGGGGGGGGGTCTCTGGTGGGATTTGCAGGGACTAAGATGGGCACTGCAAGGTCTATGGTGGGATGTGCAGGGTCTTTGGTGGTCTCAGCCTGACATCCTGCAGTGCCCACCAGAGATCCTTTACAGCCCACTTGAGACCCCGGCTTCCCTGCAACACTAAGGCCTCATTCACACTGCTTAAGGCTGTGACACACTGCACGCGAAGCAGCGTGGAGCGGTGGCGCGCTGCCTTTGCGAGCAGTGTGTCATGTAATTTTCTCCTCGGCACCTCAGCTTGCTAGAGCTCACGTAGCTGAGCGTGCCAAGATGAAATATTTCATCTTCAGCCAATCGGCTCGCGCGTATAAACCGGCGTGTTGCGATGCGACATCTGGCCGGTTGTTATGCAGGAGCCGATTGGCTGAAGGTGCAGTCAATCATGTGCCTGCACTCAGCTCACACACTGCACGCAAAGCTCCATGCCGGACAGCTTTGCTTCGCTCTGCACGGCTTTGCGTGCAGTGTGTCACGGCCTTTAGAGTTTCAGAGTTGGCCCATAAACATCCGTGCTGGTGCACGTGTCCGTGCTCGGACGCAGATAGGATCCATCCTGTCTGTGTACGAGTACGGACATCCACACCCGCACGGACTGCACGTCCGTGCGGGTGTGGATGTCCATGCTCGGACGCAGACAGGATCCATCAGACAGGACCTGCAGTTCGGGTGAGCGTAGGGCGGCGTACGGCCTCGTACTCCCATAGAGAAGGACAGGCTGCTGCGTGTAATCACCCGGGAGCGGCCTGATACGGGCATGCAGGCAGTACGGATCTGTACGGGCTGCCCGTTTCTCATGTGAATGAGGCCCGACAGTGAGGACACTGAGGGCCCATGACCCAGAGCATTGGAGAGGAGAGGAGAGCACCGTAGCAAGTAATAAGGTTAGTATTACAGACTATT